GTAAAAAGGCTTTTTTTTTGTCTTTTTCTAGTGAACATTAAAGGATTACTCCACTTTTTAAAAAAATATAGGCTCTATTTACAGTGACGAGATGCTAAATGCAATTTAATGATCTATGCTAAGCTAAGCTAAAAGTGCTCCTATTACACACACAGATCAGTATGAATGTCCATAAAAAATGATATGACTCGATGATTTAACTCTCTTGGAGCTGAACCAAATAACAGCCTATATACTGTAAATAACAAATGGAGTGTTTCTATGAAGAAGATATTCATAAAATTGTTGACATAAATGGAAATCAATGGTTACCAAAATCCCCCAAATTATCTTCTTTTGTGACAAGTAGCTCTGCAGGCTGAGTAAATAAGTAAATGGCGATCCTATTTTTATTTTCTGAGGGAACTGTCCCTTTAAGACCATATGTCTCAATACTAACCACTGGTCCCGGAGCGCCCTGCAGTCCTCTCTGTCCCGGCAGACCAACCTCTCCTCGATCTCCTTTACTGCCCTACGAAAGAGAGAGACAAAAGCAGCGTTATCAGCATTCAGCATCAGTCTATGCTAACAATATTAGCCTGCCAGACTTTATCTATCTGCATCTCTCCTCATCCAACAGCACCAGTTTATGACAGTCCAACGACAGTCCAGCGTCCATTAATAGACATTGACAGAGGAAGCTGCATTGATTGGCTGAGTTCAGATCTGGCAGCCTGTAAATGTGTTTTCTGATTAGGAGTTATAACACAAAACCTGCTGATCGGTTTTAATGAGTAAAACCGTCACATTTAATAAAGGCCATGTTCAATCTTACTGAATGAAGAATTCCCATATTCAGTTCTATATTAGAATGTGACACAATGTAAAACACAATAAAGTGGCGTGACTTATACGGCAGTCTTTGCTTTCATTTCTGAAATTCTGCATTAACCAGAAGTTGTTTTTTATTTCAGTATGTTGATGTACTTCCTACTGAAACGGAATATCGAGTAGAGGCAGGGCTTTCTTTTTGCGCATAATTCCCTCATACCAACCTAACGGTAAGAGAGTGTATTAATATGCAGTTGCTTATGGAAACCATCAGGTTGACATCAACAGAAGGACCACCACTCCAAACACAGAAGCAAATGATTAAAATTTGATTGAAGATTTACTGAACCTATTTTTTTCAGTGGATTAACTTATTTAGGCCTTAATTATTTACCTTATGAATAACAATGTGAGCTGGCAAAACAAATAATGTACATTTTGATTTCAGGCAGATTTTAAAATAAAATACTGAATTACAGACATAATTATATATTGCTTTAAACTCTTTTCAGAAAACAAAATGTACACAGTAATATATATCAGTTTTGTAATCACAGTAGCTTACAAATGGTCTATATTTCAATACAAAAACTAGTTCACCTAAACATGAAAATTTTTCCATTAATAAACAAATTATTTATCGCCCACAAGTGGTTTAAAACGTTGTGTTTCAATTGAACACGAAAGAAGATATTTTGAAAATTGCTGAAAACCAGTAACCATTATATATATATATATATATATATATATATATATATATATATATATATATATATATG